AGATTAAAATAAGTGAATAAATAGAGGGTATCCCGTGTAATCCACTGATATCCATGCTAATCACATTAATCAGAGTGAATTAATTACACCTGAAAACAGATGCAAAGTTAAATTCCTTCGGAAACCAATTCATTAAACTCATATTGGGATGCAGAGTCAACAGCCCCCATGTTTAGAAACTATCAGCATGATTTGTGGCAACTTCTGATTTACTAACAAAACTGCTTAAAACATTTTTAAAGGCAATTACAATTACTGTCTGGCATCTGATGGAAAGAAATCTCATCAGCATTGTCCCTGGTGTGTCAACTGTCACAATTTTCTAAAAATTTTGAGGCGAAAAATAGGCAGGCTCTACTATTTGCTCGCCTCGATTAGGGTTAATTCAATGTGTGTCTGCAAATAATAGTGTTTAATGTAATCTCTCTAATTACAGATAAAATGCATTTTCAGTCATGCGCCTCACTGACAGTATTTGGGGGTAAGTTAAACTGACAGCTGCTTTCTGAAGGAAAGGAAAGGAGGGGGGAACCCAACAACCTTCCTAGGATTGTGTTCATTTTCTTTCTGTGCATTATTTTTTGGGTGGGTTGGATTTTTTTTTTTTGGCAGTAATGTCCAGAAAAATATCAAAGTATATATTTTAACTCTGGATACCAATTTTGGAAATCTCAACATAGTCCCTTTGGGAATTTGTTTTCTTATCTCCCACCTTCACCAATGAATATTAATTTTTTTTTTTTGGTGCCAAGGGTGGTTGGTGCTTGGGGGCCACACCCAACAGTGCTCAGGGCTTACTCCTGGCTCTGCACTCAGGGATCCTCAAGCTTGGTCCAAGAGAATCAAATGTGATGCCAGGAATTGAACTGTGGTCACCCACATGCAAAACAAGTGCCTTAGCCCTTGTACTATCTATCTCTCCGTCCAAAAACATTTTAAAGGGTGTCCAGAGGAGCAGGCATAGTGTTAAGGCACTAAGGAAATCAAGAAGGAGTGATTTTACCAAAACTATGTTCCTCAGCTGGCTCCATGGGTCAAGTTGAACTTCTGTCCTGGCTGTATAGGACACACCGTCACAGTGTCACTGTATTTACAGGGATTCCTAACAAACAATTCAAGTTATAGCTGATGGTAAATGTAAATTTCTCCTTTGGTACAGTGGACAGAACCAGAGATGACTACGAGGCATATAATCTATAGGCTTTTCCAGATCCTATGATAGAATTTGAATTAAACGATTAGGATTTGGTGGATGGCAAGTGGGGGAAGGAGCCATATCCATGAACAGTTGGGAGCTACTGCTTATTAAGTGCTCTGGGGTTGGCCTACCAGTGCTCAAGGGGACCATGTGGCACTGAGATCAAACCCAGACCTCTTGCATGTGAGGCATACTCCACTCCACTATTTCCCTGCCCCCCATCTTTTTTTTTTTTCAGTTCCCAGGATCAACCCCAGGACCTCAAACATGTAAGGCAGCTGCTCTTCCATCCCCAAGCTACATCCGTAGCCCCTTAGATTTTCTTTTGCAGAAACAGGAATTGGGGAAAAAGAATAAAGTATTTATTGGTAAAGACAAAATTAGAAGGTGATGAGAGAAACCATACACAAGATAGAATTAATACTCCGAGGGGTGGCACGTGGAACAGAGGTTGGTGGATTCTATAGAGACCATCCAGGAGTTAGGGTGCATATCTTGAATGAATGTTGACCACAGAGTAGCCCCTGAGTACCACCCAGGGTGTAGCCTCTGCAGAAAGAAAGGATCTAGTTTAAAGTTGAGTGAATCATTTGTGGAATATAAAGTAACAGAATGGGAGACTAACACCCAAGGATAGTAGAGATAAGGACCAGGAGGATTGTTCCATGGCTTGGAAGCCGGCCTCACATGCTGGGGGGAAAAGGCAGCTCCGATAAGAGAAGGGACCACCAAGTAAAGGATGCTCGGAGAGCCCACTTGGGGTGGGAGATATGGGAGATGTGTGCTGAAAGTAGATTGTAGACCGAACATGATGGTCACTTAATACCTGTATTGCAAACCACAACACCCAAAAGGAGAGAGAAAGCAAAAGGGAATGTGCCTGCCACAGAAGCGGGGGTGGGGGGTAGGGGGGCTGGGAGGATGAATACTGGGAACATTGGTGGTGGAGAATTGGTACTGGTGGAGGGAAGGGTACTCGATCGTTGTATGACTGAAACGTAAGCACAAAAGTTAAAAAAAAAAGAGAAAAAAATAAAGGTGAGTGAATCAGGGAATTAATAAATGAACAAATAACTGTGATCTAACATGCCTTTGTCTTTTTTGGTATTTTGAGATATGAGTGGTTCACATTGAGTCACTGTCTTTACTACTCTTAAGCTTTTTAAACCTTTGTTGTAGACAAGCTATGCTTCCTACATCTTGTGTCTTACTTGGGATATGTTTCATCTCTGAGGAATGGGAAAGCTCAAACAGTGGTTTAAATCAGTGTTTCTCCATTTTTCCTGGACTGTGACCCCCTTCTAACTTTGTTTCCTTCCCAAAGACCCCCTAACCTATTTCCTGATTGGCCCCCTAGTCTCATGCAGTGACTGCCCAACTTACAGAATCACCTTGGAATATGCCCCTTGGAATATGCTAGGATCCCTAAAGGGTATATGGCTCCCAGTAGAGAAATGCAGATGGTTTCAATAGCTATTTAATTTCTCAATCATGAAACCTCTTAGTTAATAGTCCTGGGCTGACGTGGCACCTCTGCCCCACCATCCTTATTGTTGACAGTGCTCAGGTGGAAGTGTACTCTTCAGGATCTTCTAACAGAACATCCCTGTGCCAGAAGGATGGAGAGAGGGATGAACAAGTTGGAGCAGAAGAGCAGGCGCTCTTGCTATAGTTCTGGAAGGCTTGTCCATGACATTGAAAATTGTCCATGACATTGGAAATTAAAGAGAAGCCCTACTTTAGTCAGATTCTGAATATGGGGGTGTTGCTAAGAGAAAAGCAAGACAGGTCCTTTAAAAAGGATAATAAAACAGGAGCTGGAGCGATATTACAGCAGTTAGGAGTTTGCCTTGCATGCAGCTGACCTGGGCTCAATCCCCTGCACCCCATATGATCTCTCAAGCCCATCAGGAATAATCCTTGAGCATGGAGGAGGAGGAGGAAGAGGTGAAGGAAGAGGAGGAGGAGAAGGAGGAGGAGGAGGAGAAGGAGGAGGAGGAGGAGGAGGAAGAGGAGGAACACAAAAAGAAAAGGTTAATAAAATGAAAGTGGAAGCCTGAAATCAGTGCTAATGTGAAAAACATTTGGCAGAGGCCCCAGCAAATATGTGAATTTTAATGTAAATGAGAGGGACAGAGAGATAGTTCAGGGAGTAAGGCTCTTGCCTTGTATGCGCTAAATCCAGTTTAATTTCTGGCACTGTAGTCCCCCACCTTCCCAGCCCAGCATCACAGGAATCACTCCTGAGCACAAAGACAGGAGTAAACCACCCCCTCCATCCCCCAGCACCTCTGGGTATGGACTCAAGACTCCAAACCCAAAACTAAATAGCACTGTCCTCCCATTGTTCATCCATTTGCTCTAGCGGGCCCAGTAACGTCTCCATTGTGAGACTTGTTGTTACTGTGTTTGGTATATCAAATACATCATGGGTAGCTTGCCAGGCTTTGCTGTGCGGGTGAGATACTCTCGGTAGTTTGCCGGCTCTCTGAGAGGGGTGGAGGAATCAAACCCGGGTTGGCCGGGCTGGCTACATGCAAGGCAAATGCCCTAAATGAAAGGTAAATAAAAAGAAAATAAAATTGGACCAGTGATGTGGCCTAGTCATTAAAGCACATGCCTTGTGTAAATTAGACCAAATTAGACTGGGGCTCCATCTGCAAAACTGAAAAAAAAAATCTTCCACCAATATCAATGAACTTCAAATTTATTCCTAGATCAACCTTATGTAAAAAGCATCACCATCTAATGTAACTCATTGGTTGATTCTTCTAAGCTGTTAGATTTGCCAACTTCTACTTCTTAGGACAAGATGTTAGGAATATTGTTCTAGATGACCATGGTCAAATGCTATCTTGTATAGGAGAGTAACACTGATGCCACAATGCCCAGATTTTCAGCTTGTAAGACCATAGAAATGACACTCCTGAAACAGGTGAGCTGACCATAAAAGGAAAGCCATTCTAAAAGGCCAGATGATGATTTTGTTTGAGTATAGAGTTTGCTCTACTAAAAAAAAAAAAAGTAAACATAAAACCATAAAACGCACAAAATGCCATCTTGCAACCACCAGATTAGCAAAAATATCGAGGAAATGAGACACTGAGAATCATAAAAATCAGATTTGGTTTCTGTGGTCTCAGAAAAATACTTAAGGCATATACAGATGAGGTAAATCATAAGAGCTCCCACATTTCTGTTTTCAAGCCACCAACAACACACAAAAGAAATGCACTTGCACTAATTCATAATAAATGGTGTTTGAAGGAGAGTTGGATAAGTGCTGCATTTGCTTCACAAATAGGGATTTTTAAGCACTGTAGCTGTGGCTTTAGCAAAAAAAAAACAAACCTGATAAATCATAGCGAATTCGAACCCCGAGTCTTATAAGTTCTGGTTCACAAACAATATCTTATCATCTTGCTATAAAATAAATATTTCCTACACCTCCAGAATGCTTGGAGCCGACAAACTGTGAGCTCCATTTAAAGGCTATACAGTTGAAAGGAAAAGCCGCTTCCTACAATGTGCATGTTTGTATCTCTTCAAAGCACCCAGCAGCGCTCTGCCCACAGGAAGTAATCAATAAATGGTTATTGAATTTAGAATGTTCTTTTCCCCAATCAGTGAGGTTTAATATATTTCCAATTCAGAATGTCTATTAATTTTTCAGCACTAGTAAGCCTTTTAAAAAAATCCATTTGGAGATGTGCAAGAGAGTTCACAGCAAATACTATTATATAAATGATCAAGAGAATACTGTTAAAGAAGCATGCTTATTCAACACACCAGTAGCCATTGATAAAATGTAATTTAATTTAATCATTTAGATTTACATTGTTAATGTACAAGAGCATTTCTTTCAAACCACAGGTTAACACACAGGAAAGAGCAAAGCTGTTAGAGGCGCAGAGAAGCTTTGGAGAACTCTGCTGTCTGAAATAAAAGCAAGGCACTCTCCATTAACAGTTGGTGGATCCTGATTTCCGCCCACGGAAGGCTTGTTCACACCGAGAGAGCTCTCCCCCACGGGAAGAATCACCTGCTTTCATTCTTGCTGTCTATACTTATGTGTCAACATAAAGGAGAGAGGGAGAGAGAGAGAGTGGGGGCAGGGGGCGAGGAGGGAGGGAAGGAGAGAGGGAGGGAGAGATGGAGAGCTGACTTGGGAGTCTCTCCTAGTTGGAATAACTACGGAAGACAGAAGGACACTGGCTATCATCTTTCTTTTCAGCGCTATTGTCGGGATCTATAACTAAACTCCCCCGTTTTTTTTCATTGTTCTTCAGCCAATTGCTATCACGACTAAAAGGTCTTCCTTAAATCTGATGGGTTTAAAAGGAGAAAAGGACAGTGTTTCTCTAGGGCTCTGGTTTTCTGTTGTTATTGTTGTTATTGTTTGTTTTGTTTTACCATTTACAGACAGGACAAAAAACGAAGATTAACTTTCCAATACTAACAGTGCACAAAAAGGCTATGTATGCACAGCACTTCTAATTTACTCAACTTCAATTTAAATTTGGTCCGAAGCTGCCTTGCATGAAATGTTAGCTTTCTGATATTTAATAATGTTTATTATGTTTGCACATAAGCTCAAAAATTAATGCAGCTTTCCTACTTTGCTAATGGTTATCACCAGGTCAAATGTCTATGTTAGCAGTTACGTTTGAAAGCCTTTTTCCCTATTAGATACAGTGAGTTAAGATTATGGAAAGGGGGACTGGGTTCTAGTCTTGATTCCATTACTAGCTGTTTGGCCTCAGATCATTCTTTACTGTTCACTGGGTCCCAATTTTCTCCTCTTTGAATCCTTTTTTGTTTGCTTATGGGGGCGAGGGGGCACACCTGGTGGTGCTCCAGGGCTATTCCCAGTCTGTGCTCTGGGTCACTCCCAGTATTGTCCGGGAGCCCACTGGCTCCAGGGTCAAACCCAGGCCTCCTGCATCCAAAGCATGGGCCCCACAGGATCAGTCATCACTTCCACCCCTTTTCTCTGAATTTCAGGGGTTAGACTCGTTGACAATTTAGATCTTTTCCAAGTCTAACGTCTCAAGACCCTATCATTCCAGATCCTAGCTTCTTAATATAAAAATAATCTTTTGCCAAAGCTCAAACAAACATAATGCATGATCAAATATCAGAATGACTCTTGAGAAAAATGAAATGTATATGATTTGCTATCTGGGTTATTCTTTGCAGCAAGTAGGCAACTCATTTGGCATTTGTTTGATTGTATAATTTAATGATAATATAAACAGCATAGTTTTGTTATTTTTTTCCTTTAAAAAGACTAAAGCAAAAATGACTTTAAAGCTAACAAAAACTACTGTTGACATCAGTTTGACATTCAAAGTTGTTTCTTAGCAAAATGGACAAAGATATTTTGACATGATACAGAGTATATAATATAAAGACTTTTAGACCTAAAAATCTTTAAACATTATTTGAATTTAGCAAAACATAAGCAAAATTTTAATATCAAAGTGCTAAACAGTACTGCCTTAAAAGTCACTGCAAATGAACCATAAAATAACTGCATGGGAAATAACATTTATTGTACAAATGGTTAATAAAAAGACACATTATAAATATATATGTAACCTGCTATATTTATATATATTTGCTTATTTAATTTCTAACTGGTGTATCCAAGTCACTGCGAACACCCCATTTAAGTACTCTGTAACTCAGCTTCCAAGAGCTGGTGGTCTTGCAATAAATACAGGCAAAGCTATTACAATATAACGTGCATACAAATGTTTATACAAATAAGGACACTATGCAACAAGTCATCTCATAATAATATGGCATCAACTGTATAAACATACAAAAGGGAGTACGAACACGGAATGTTGAAACGCAGCCCACTAACCCTTTCTAGTACTCACATTCATACTAATTTTTTTTTAAAAAATAAGACTTGCTTGCTCTCCAGAATTGCCTCTTAAATTGTTAACTGAAGTAAATTATGTTTACTTAGAAAACCCTTTTATCCCTGGTGCTTACCCTGTATGATCCAGTTCCTAGTTCATTGCATGTTCTTATCTAGGGACCCCCTATAAGATCGACTGAAAATTCCTGTGGCTTCAGAATGGGTAGTCAGCTGCTATATCTAGAGCAAGTAAAGAGGACTGTGGCTGGGTTGTTAGAACGCACCCAGAATATCTGTTTTTGATCAGTTCTCTCATCTCAGCCTCCTTCTGGACAGCTGGACAGTCAGGGCAGGGATCAATAACCATCAAGAACGGCCTCAAACTGTGGGTGGCCCACACCTCGGAAAGGTTCAACAGGGAAAGTAGACAAAACCTCTTCTAATCAAATTAGCAAATGTGTCATTTGCTCGCATGACTGCTTCCTCTTCATGTCCATATAATATAAAGGAGAGTTAATAAACAAGACTAAGTAAGACAGCACTTTAAAAAATTGCACTTGTATATGGAAGCAAGCAGCCATTTTTATCTTGCGATATTTGATTTCTAGGTTATCTACCATCTTTCGGAACCATTTTTATTTAAAAAAAGAAGAAGAAAGAATCAAGGAAGAGAGAAATTACGAAGAGGGAATTTTTGCCTTGTTTGCACCACATACGTATACACTTGAGACAGGAAGTGTAATCTAAAGGGGTCAATCTTAAGACATATCTTACCCTGCTGAAAAACCCTTGGCTGTTCTTTTGAAATACAAAGCAACTATAACAGTATTCCCCAGAAAGAGTTGCAAAACAGATATATAATCCTTTTTTTTTCCTTCCTGCATCCAAAAGTGCTTCATTAGCCATTTCTTAGAAAACCCTCATGAACTAGACCCCACCTCCCACCCTAACCCCAAAGCCTAAATAGAAAACACAACCCCATCACAATACTCTGCAAGTTTTCTGGCTTTAGGTTGTAAGGAAAAGTGCCAGAAGGGAGGAGGGTGGGGGGGGGGGGGGAGTCTTTATTTCATATGGGAGCGGCTTTTTTTTCTCTTCAGGACAGAAACTGGTGTTTCAGACCCAGCCCTTGGCGACTTTGCCAGCAGGTACTAATAGTGAAGCGGCTCCGGCCAGGCAGCTGCCCCTGGTCAGAAAGGCAGGGTGTCCAGGAAGAGCTTGTCAATGATGGAGGGTGGAGACACCAAGTCCTCCAGCTTCAGGTAGAAGATGCGCTGCAGGCCCAGCGTGCAGATCTTGCGCAGTTCCACCAGGGCCCCCTGCACCTTGGTCTCGCTGGGCTCCAGAGCCTGTCCCTTACTCTGGTGGTCTTTTAAGCTGCTTGTGATCTTGTTGCATAGCTCCTCCACTCTCTTTGGTTCTTTTAACCCATGTCGTTCTGCAAGGGGACAGATATGTTTAGGCGGCAGTTACATCAGCATTGGGTCAGGGGATCAGTTGGGGAGGTTAGGAAGCCATATCAGGTGCTGCTGAGGGGCTCTTTCCAGTTCTGTGCTCAGGAGTAGCTCCTGCCCATCCTCAGAGAACCCTAGGAGGTTCCAGGAATTGAACTAGGGTCTGATACATGCAATGCAAGTGCTTAACTTTGTACTATCTCTCTGCCTCCCTGGAAGTTGTATTTTTTTTTAATTAGTGAAACACCATGAGGTACAGTTGTAGACTTACAAATTTTTGTGCTTGGGTTTCGATTATACAATGATCAAATACCCATCCCTCCACCAGTGCCCATTTTCTACCACCATGTAACCCAGTATCCCTCCCACCCCCATCCCCCCATCCCATCCTGCCTCTGTGGCAGGGCATTCCCTTTTGTTTTCTCTCTCCTTTTGGGTGTTGTGGTCTGGCAGTTGTATTTTAAGAAACTTTCAATCCCCAATGCAGACCCATATCTTGTCCTGTTCTGATGACTTCATTTTACAATCCAAGTGTTTCTTCCCGCACTCCTAAGCATTACTCATGGCCACTGATCTCCTGGGGCACCAGGGTTTGGATTCCATCAATCTCCTTATAAAACAAAGTAGACAGTATCCTACTCGGGTCTCCAGAAAGTCCTGCCAGGAGAAGACCCTTCTTTAGGCTGAACATAGAAACATAGTAAGGTAAATGAACTGATATTCCCATCTCCACAGACTCGGCGAATGTGTGGTACTTGGGACACAGGGAATATGTGTATGTGGCGGGTGGGGGGTTCAGAGGGGCAAGGGTGAATGCCATATACTAATCCTGTCCTGCAAGAAACGATATGAAATAGATGAAGTGCATTCTTGTTTTGCATGCTAACTGCAGAGATGAATCTTGCTCTTTTCTATCTTCCAGCACCTCTTGAAATGCCTTTGACTTCCACCTGGAACTGTGTGTAAAATACATAAGCTCCCACTGCTGAGATGGCAGAGTGGAGGAGAAGGGGAGCCCCAGAAGGTGATGAGGTAGCATTAATGCAGAAATTAAGATACCGTGACAGATATATAGATAGACGTTGGGTTCTGGGTCACATGTCGTGGTGCTCAGGCCTTACCCCTGGCTCTGCTCTCAAGGATTACTCCTGGCAGGTTTGGGGGACCAGATGGGTAAACTGGTGATCGAATCCAGATCGGCCACATGCAATGCAAACACCCTGCCCCTAGTACTGTCAGTCCAGCACCCCATATCATATTTTATGAAGCTATATGTTAACGATCGCCATGATAAATATTATAATATTTTTGTATATTCAGTTAAGAGATTTTGCAAAGTCACGGAACTGTTAAAGCTGGATTTGAAGGCAGTATTCATTGGCCAATTCTGTCTTCTTGCTCCAATGTAATACTGGCACCTCTCACGAGAATGTTCCAGGAGCCTGGGGTTCAGTCCAAATCACTTTACTCTGCCTCAGCATGTAGCTATCAGAGCCTTTTTCTGAGGGAAGAGCTTGGTCCTTATTATTTCAGCCAAAGTTTTCATATTTCAGTTGATATGTAAAATAATGGTGTGTGTGTGTGTGTGTGTGTGTGTGTGTGTGTGTGTGTGTGTGTAGCCAGAGATCAAAGCCCGAGCCTCACATATGCATAAACCAGGCAAGTGCTCTCCTAATGAGCTCTAAAATAATAATTCTGGAGATATAAAAGACATCTTTCCAACAGAAACACATGTATTCTTTTGTTTCTATTTGGTTTGGGGGAAATCCCTGATATTGCTTCAAGATCAATCCTGGTGGCTGGGTGCCTGGGGGTGGGGGTCACCCCCAGAAGTGCCTGGGGACCATGCAATGCCTGGGACCAAATCTGGGGCTCTGGTTCACAAAACATGTACTCCAGTCCTTTGAGCCATCGCCCTGGGTTAGAAATATTTTAAAAAAATTTCCTACTTAAGTTTTTGTTTGTATGTCTAAGGTCAGGAATACTTTTGTTAGAAAGGGTATATCGTTTGTTTGTTTTTTGTGTGGGAGCCATATGTGCCTGAACTTGGGGGTTATTCCTGACTCTCTGCCAGGAGTCACTTGTGGGGTGGCTGGGGAGGGGGGCGGTGCTGGGGATTGGATTGAATCTGCACTCCTGCACAAGGAACCTGTGCTCTAGCCCACTGGTATCCCTGTGACCTATGGAAAATATTTTGTTTTTAAAGCAAAAGTCAAAAACAAAAAAGCTCTTAGCAAAAGAATCGAAATATCCGGATATGCTGTTACTTCTCTTGCCCTAAAGGTGAAGAGGTCCAGAATGCAATGTGCAAGCCTCCTCGGAGTGGCTGGCTTTGTAGGACTCTGGGGAGTGGCTCCTTTTCTGGAGTTATCTTTAAAGGAGGGGGAAATGTCACGGTCCTCCCGTTGTTCATCGATTTGCTCGAGTGGGCCCAGTAACGTCTCCATCATGAGACTTGTTGTTACTGTGTTTGGCATATCGAATACGTCACGGGGAGCTTGCCAGGCTCTGCCGTGTGGGCGAGATACTCTCGGTAGCTTGCCGGGCTCTCCGAGAGGGGTGGAGGAATCGAACTCGGGTCGGCCATGTTGGCTGCATGCAAGGCAAACGCCCTACCGCTGTGCTATTTAAAGACCTCTGAGTTTCCTTTCAATTCCTATGTATTACAACGTTTTGTTCTGAACTTGTTTACACCTGGCTGTGCTTAGGGCTTACTCCTGCTCTGTGTTCCCAAAATGCACTGGGCAGGGATCAGGAGACCATATGTCGTGGCTGGGATTCAATCCTAGTCAGCTAAGTGCAAGGCAAGTGCCTTACCCACTGCCCTGTCTCTCTGGCCCATGTCTCATGCACCTGAGGCATGCGCTTTTCTGCTAAGTCACATCCCCAGCAGAATCTGAAGCATTCACTACAAAAAACAAAAGTGAAAGTGTAATAAAACCCACATCCCACAGCAGGCGATTGGGAGGCTAAAATAAAATTATGCTATATTAAAGTGTTCCATCAACTCAGGCTGGTATATGCATAGTATTGTCAGCACTTAAGAATAGGCCTACAAACAAAAGGTAACCAAGGCTCGCTGAAGTCGATGCTTTGCAGTGCATGATTTTGCTTTCTCTAGGAAACCATTGGCTCATCAGCCCTAATGCAAACCTGTCTATTGTGGTTTATCTTGTTAAATACACAGATCCTGGGGTTTGTTTCAGCAACACCCATGACTGAAAAAGACAAATCTAGCCTGCAATGACGTTCTACCTAAAATTTCCTCTCCTCCACCGTCTCCCACAAACAGAACAAATAGAAACAGAGTGCAAATTTGGCAATAAATTTTGAGAGCTATAATATGTTCATAGCCTCTGACCGAAATACCCTTCCCACACTTATATGAAGGAAAAATTCAACAGAAGAATAGATTTTTATGCATGGAGCAGTATGGGGGAATGAAATAATCCAGGGCACATCAGAGGGGGGTGGGTTATTCCAGTGCCCACCGAAACAGCCCCCATCAGCCCTTTGCTCCCACAATCCAAAATTGCCACCCGTGATCCTAGCCTGACTTGAGTGTTTCAGGACTGACCTCACCTATATATTAATCTGCTGAAAATTTGGGTATCCAGGTTTTTGTGATTGAAATCTCCAGGCTTCTTCAGAATTAGGATAGGCAACTTGCCCCCGATATCCCTGTACTTCTGGAAGCCCTATCAGTCATATCCATACCCCAAAGCTGCCACCAGTTAAAAAACAAAAACAAAAACAACCCGACTCCAGCTGTACCTTCCCAATAAAAATATTGAACTCCCTAACAAACATGATGACCTCTTGGTACCTGTATTGCAAATCATAATGCACAAAAGGGAGGAGAGAGAAAGAGGGAGAGAGAGAAAGAGGGAGAGAGAGAGAGAGAGAGAGAGAGAGAGAGAGAGAGAGAGAGAGAGAGAGAGAGAGGAAAAGTGCCTGCCATAGAAGCAGACTGAGCAGGGGGGAGGTGACTGGAGGGAAACTGGGGGACACTGGCACTGGTGCTAGGAAATGGACAATGGTGGAGGAATGGGTTTTGGATCATTGTATGACTGAAACCCAATCATGAACATCTTTGTAATGGTCTATCTCATGGTGATTCAATAAAAAAAAATTTTAAGCAGAAAAATAAAGGGTGGAGAAATAGGAAGCTGTCAAGTAAAAATGGCAATTTTGTGGATAGCCAAAAAAGAAATACAAGCAGGCTTTCAGGCATCATAGAAAAATACGTCCTATCACATTACATAAAGGGAATAAAGATGGCATCTCGGCTGTGTATTATACTGATGGAAAAATTAATTCTGCATTCAGAGAAGGAAAGGAAACAAAAGTAAAAATATTTCGGAGATTTTTCAGATAACTCTTTTCCTTTCCTTCCAATGACCCCATGCTAGTTGGATAATAAACAATGTGAAAATGGAACAAACTGGGATTTGTTCCTTTGTGAGGCCTTCTCATAGCTCTAACATGATCAAACAGTCATCTTGCTGTGAGTAAATTCTATTAATACTGAGATCTGTCAAATTAGGCCCATAAGCCAGGGAGAGATGCTTTTCCTAGAACAAAATACCAATCCATTGATTTCAGCTTTCCCCTCGTCTTGGTGCCTTGTGCCTGGTATTATATGTAAGATCCCATATTCATTATCAGGATAAAGGACCTGAGCAATCTGTTGGCTGGGTTTCTGGAGGGGGCTGATTATGGAACCTTGTAGCAGACTTTCTCAGGGCCAAACTGGGAGTTTCCCTGCTCCCCATCAGCAGTGGCTGCTCAATAACTATGGCAACCATTATTTATTCAGTGAATCCAACGGGAGATCGATACCTCCTGCCAGCTGGATCAACCCTGGGCCTGGAATTCCTTGAGGAATTCAGAGACCCTCCTGTTAGAAGCCAAAGGCACCTCCTTTGTTGTTTTGAACAGCTTCTGGATTTGTGGCTTCTTTACTTTTTTCAAAAGAACTGCA